ACACACACACACACACACACACACACACACACACACACACACACACACACACACACACACACACACACACACACACACACACACACACACACACACACGCTCACACACACACACACACGATCCTAGTCACCTTCGTGGAAGTTGAAGATCTGGTGGATGGGCCTGCAGCGGCCGCTGATCTTGACGAGCCCCTGCACAACAACGCCTTCCTTGTACACGCACATCGGTGATGGTAACGGCAATGAGGGTAAGGGAGGGAAGTGAAGCCGAGGTCAAAAGTTCAGCATGCGCAGTGCATCATCATGTTCAATCCACCATGGCACCATCTTGCCTGATACACGATTTGGAAACACACGGTGTTACGCACACGCACGCTCACACATGCGCACATGCACAAGTACGCACTCACCTCAGGGCAGCTTGTGCAACAGGGGAAGATGATGATGCTCTCAAGTGGCACGCCCCTGGTGTCTGTATCTCACCATGCCGCAGTGCATGGCCTGGTCAATCGAGGTTGTGTGTGTGTGTGTGCGTGTGAGTGAGAGAGAAGCACATTGCCATTGCTATGCGCTGTGCCTCGTCTGCGACAACACGAACACGTGATGGTGAGGGAAACATGTCTGTTGACGAAAGGAAACAACTCATCAAAGCACAGCGCGTGTGGAAGAACAAACAAACCTGTGTGGTGGTGTTGTTGGCATTTCTTTGGCTGCTGCCTGCAGTGGTGCGGATGATGATGGGCAGTGGCGGACGAGGAAAGCAACCACAGCAACTACCACACAAACAAAGCTGGTTGTAGAAAGAACAGCAGAGACAAGCAAGAAGACAGCTCACACACACACACACATGTGAGTAAGAAGAGTGATGATGTGAGGGACAAGATCACAACCATTGCCAACAACACCTGCTTCATCAGCACAGTGAGGTGAGCGCAAGCCAACAACCATGACTGGAACATGCGAGCGACACTTTGGCTTGTTCACCTGTCGTTGATGTGCACCCTT